AAGTAGTAACTACCCTGGAGTGCTTGTATTGCTAGTTTTAACAGAGAGAGGGTAATTGTATGAAATCCTACTAAAGTGTGGAACCACTTAATTGAGCACATTATCACGGATTGTGTAATTGCTGTGGATTTGTTTTCACGAGTGAAGAGTCACAGATTGTTTATTTACAAATTGGAGTATTTAGTATGTTTATTTAGTGTCACAGAGTGCTGTGTATTTTGATTCACTTTATATACCGTATTTTTCGCTCCATAAGACGCACTTTTTTCCCCCCAAAAAAGGGGGGAAAATGTCAGTGCGTCTTATGGAGCGAATATGGAGCGGCCGGTCCGGTATTTCCACCGCCGCCGTGCAGAATACCGGGACCTGCAGCGGGACCTTATAGAGATGACTGCTGACCTTTTGGGAGGGGGGGGAGCGGGTACCTGAATTTGACAGGTACCCGCTCCCACTTCCGTGGAGTTGTTCTTTCATCTTACCTGTTCCTCTATCCAGCGGCGCGCTGTCTTCCCGGCTTCTGTAGTGTGGGCATGACAGCCGGGTGCCAAGTGCGCATGCGCAAGAAGCGGTGCTTTTTGTGAATGGTAAGGCGGCACCTGGGACACATGACAGATCCCAGAAGCCGCCGGACCAATCACAAAGCGCAAGTGCTTCTCGCTCATGCGCACTGGGCACCCGGCTGTCATGCCGAGCGCCATTACAGAAGCCAGGAAGACAGCGCACGGCTGGATAGAGGAACAGGTAACATGAAAGAACAACTCCGCGGAAGTGGGAGCGGGTACCTGTCAAATTCAGGTACCCGCTCCCCCCCCTCCCCAAAGGTCAGCAGTCATCTCCTGTACTATCCACAGTCTCTGGTCATCCCTGTGCTGTCCGCAGTCTCTGGTCATCCCTGTACTGTGTCCGCAGTCTCTGGTCATCTCCTGTACTGTGTCCGCAGTCTCTGGTCATCCCCTGTACTGTGTCCGCAGTCTCTGGTCATCCCCTGTCCTATGTCTGCAGCTCTGGTCATCTCCTGTACTGTGTCCGCAGTCTCTGGTTATCCCCTGTACTGTGTCCGCAGTCTCTGGTCATCTCCTGTACTGTGTCCGCAGTCTCTGGTCATCTCCTGTACTGTGTCCGCAGTCTCTGGTCTGTACTGTGTCCGCAGTCTATGGTCATCTCCTGTACTGTGTCCACAGTCTCTGGTCATCTCCTGTACTGTGTCCGCAGTCTCTGGTCATCCCTGTACTGTGTCCGCAGTCTCTGGTCATCCCTGTACTGTGTCCGCAGTCTCTGGTCATCCCTGTACTGTGTCCGCAGTCTCTGGTCATCCCTGTACTGTGTCTGCAGTCTCTGGTCATCTCCTGTACTATGTCCGCAGTCTCTGGTCATCTCCTGTACTATGTCCGCAGTCTCTGGTCATCTCCTGTACTATGTCTGCAGTCCATTAGTTCAGAATTTTTTTTTTTCCTGTTTTCTGCCTCTAAAACCTAGGTGCGTCTTATGGTCAGGTGCGTCTTATGGAGCGAAAAATACGGTAAGTGCATATACACATAAATTTAAAAGTTTTTTTTTTTTCTTTCACGAGTGGTGTGCATGTACTTAATATGTTTGTTTCTGAATAAGGGTAATGCACTATAAGCAGTTTTTCAAATTTTTTTGAGGTATCCGGGATTTTCTCACGATTTGGAAGATTGAAAAACAGTAGTTGTGGAAACTTTGGACTATATTTGTTGTGGACATTTTGGACTTATTTGGGTTATTTACAGGAAGATTTATATTGTATACAGGTTTTGTAGAAAAGGTTTTATATATATTTTACACTTTCAGGGGTGAAAGTTTAACTTTTCATAGGGGGATAACAGTCAGAGTGTTATTTATTACCTGTGAGTAATGTTACAATTAGAAGACGCCTATGTGAAGCCAAGCTATCTGCAAGAAGCCCCCGCAAAGTCCCACTGTTGAAAAAAAGACGTGCTGAAGAGGTTACAATTTGCCAAAGATCACATTGACTGGCCTAAAGAGAAATGGCGCAACATTTTGTGGACTGATGAAAGTAAGATTGTTCTTTTTGGGTCTAGTGGCCGGAGACAGTTTGTCAGACGACCCCCAAACACTGAATTCAAGCCACAGTACACTGTGAAGACAGTGAAGCATGGTGGTGCAAGCATCATGATATGGGGATGTTTCTCATACTACGGTGTTGGGCCTATTTATCGCATACCAGGGATCATGGATCAGTTTGAATACATCAGAATACTTGAAGAGGTCATGCTGCCTTATGCTGAAGAGGAAATGCCCTTGAAATGGGCGTTCCAACAAGACAATGACCCCAAACACACCAGTAAACGTGCAACATCTTGGTTCCAAACCAACAAGATTGACGTTATGGAGTGGCCAGCCCAATCCCCGGATCTTAATCCAATAGAAAACTTGTGTGGGGGACATCAAAAATGCAGTTTCTGAGGCAAAACCAAGAAATAGAGAAGAACTGTGGAATGTAGTCCAATCATCCTGGGCTGGAATACCTGTTCACAGGTGCCAGAAGTTGGTTGACTCCATACAACACAGATGTACAGCAGTTCTCAGAAACAGTGCTTATACAACTAAATATTCATTAAGTGATTCAAAGGAAAGAAAAATCTTCAAACATTTTTCAGTTTATATAGTGAATGTTTGAGTTTGTAAAGAAGAATACAAACACTGCTATTTTTTTGAACAGTCTAATATTCACTTTTCTTCAATTTTTTTTAGAGGAACAACACAAATTTGATATATTTTTCTTCATGTTTTGATTTGGAATAGAATGTGTCGTGTTCCCAATGCATTTGTGTGTATGGAAATAAAAGCTATTAGAAGGATTTGGAGCTTTATTCACTTTTTTCAACTCACTGCTATTATTTTGAACACAACTGTATGTGTAGCAACCTCCTAGATAGGTGCTAGGATGTAGATAGTTTGCATAATTTGGTTTTCTGCTTAACATGCGATTGTAAGGCAAATTTAGTCTCTCTCTCTCTCTGCTTAAGGCTAGGTTCACATCTCTGCGTTCCTGCGAGCTGCGTTTTGCACGGGCACGAGAGCCCATTCATTTGAATGGACTTTCGTGCTCCGGGACACGCAGGGAAGAAGTCCCTACACTCTTTGGAAAACGCAGTCCGCATGGAAACTCGGTTCCCATGTGGTGGTGTCCCTGAGCATACTGGGTACTGGTATTTATATTCAGTGAGCACTTGTGATCTGGGTTGTTCTTCCTCTTCCTCTGAGAGGGGAGTTCCAACCAGGGAGGCAGGCTTGCCTCCCCTGGTACATGCTGCCAGGAGGCCTCGGATGGGCGACCCGCGGGCCAGAACGCTGAAACCCAGGTTGCTTCGGAGAGCTGACTGAGGGGGATGTCTGCAGATCCTGTCTGATATCATGGCTGAAGGTGACCTGTGGCAAGGGCCTTGTGAGTACACACTGTTCAAAATGGACCCTGAGACTTATGCTTTTAACCCCCTCGGGACCGATATGGTCAGCTGCTGGGTATAAGTTAGGGGGGACACCATTTGGTGTCCAGAAGAGCAACTGTCCATTAAGTTCTGCATTCATACAAGGGGACTTTGCTCCATTCTTTGTACAGTCTGCTACACAGTTCTATTATGGAAACCCAATGATCCACTGAAAGAAAGCTGTCCTCATTTGTGAATAGTTCAATTTGCAGTATCCCAATATATCTCCTCCCTATCCCAATTATAAAACAAAATAAAAACAACAAAAACTACAACTCCTAGACTGATCATTGGAGTAACAAGCAGATGTTGTGTGCACCTGGCTATAGGAAATACCGTGTGCTTGGCTGCAGGTAAGATATAGGGGCAAGATACAAGCAGCTGCTATGGGGGTAGTGCTACATATGTATTTGAACTGTATTTTGGCTGATTTCTGGGAGTGTAGCTTCAACAGGTATTTGTGTATACTGTAAGATTGTTTGGCCATAACCGTTGACCATGCATGTGTTTTAGATGATGGCTATCGCTACATTGTCCACCTGCTACAACAACCAGCAAGTGTTTAAAAGAAAGGTGAAGATCTGCAGGGGCCAGGCAGTGACTTTGATGATGGACATTACAGACATGCAGGCTGTAAGAGCCATCACGTGTCAGTATGCCGATGAGGTATGGGTGTTTTATGTTTTTCAGCACATTGTGTCCCTTAGGGAAAAAGTGAGTTATACTGGATATACAATTGCGAAAGATCAAGCAAAAAAACAATTTAAGCAAATTGTTACCTACAGATAAGTTATACTTTTTTTCAATAACTTAGTTATTTAAAAATATCAACAAATGTAATGATGCACTATGATGGACTCAGATCAGACAATCAGAAACTCCTCAAGTCTTAGTGACTGGCAATGACCTGTACATGTGACCCACCCCATCTCTGCTGAACCATATTAGGCCACATGCCCTCAACACTGGGGGGGAGATCACCCTGGTAAAGCACCTTGTACAAGTTTTGTTGAGGCAAAGGACCTCTTAATGGCATCCCAGTCTTGGTCCTAGGGTTCAATATTGAGTTGGCCCACCCTTTGCAGCTATAACAGATTCAACTCTCCTATGAAGACTGTCCACAAGGTTTAGGAGTGTGTCTATGGGAAGGTTTGACCATTCTTCCAGAGGCGCATTTGTGAGATCAGGCACTGATGTCAGACGAGAAGGCCTGGCTCGCAGTCTCTGCTCTACTTCATCCCAACGTTGTTCTGTTGGGTTGAGGTCAGGACTCTGTGCAGGCCAGTCAAGTTCCTCCACCCCAAACTCGCACATCCATGTCTTTATGGACCTTGCTTTGTGCACTGGTGTGTAGTCACATTGGAACAGGAAGGGGCCATCCCCAAACTGTTCCCACAAAGTTGGGAGCGTGAAATTGTCCAAAATGTCTTGGTATGCTGACGCCTTGAGAGTTCCCTTCACTGGAATTAAGGGGCCAAGCCCAACCTCTGAAAAACAAGCCCACACCATAATCCCCCCTCCACCAAACTTTACACTTGGCACAATGCATTATGGTAAGTACCGTTCTCCTGGCAACCGCCAAACCCAGACACATCCATTGGATTGCCAGACAGAGAAAAGTAAGTCGTCACTCCAGAGAACACTTTTCCACTGCTCTAGAATCCAGTGGTGGCTGGCTTTAAACCACTGTTAAAATTCTTGCAGGTACTGGGAGCTCTGTTCTTGATTGATATGTAATCATATGACATTATTTTCTTCTCATTTTTGCAGATCTACCGGAAGATTCCCCTGACAGACCCATCATCTGAGCAGACACGGGACATCCTGGTTACCATCAGAAAATTAGGTATGCCTAATGGTACCACAGATTCACCCCAATAGATCTTTCCTTGGCCATGCTACTGGTGGCCCTCAGCTACAATACCTCAGACAATACCTGAGTAATGTGCATTCCTTAGAGAAGGTCCACATGGACCAGTGACCTGAAACAAGATGCCTGCAATGCACCCACCTCAGTTCTGATAATAATCTCATCATAGTCCATTAGGATTGTAGGGCTGGAACCCTTCTGAGGACACCCATACAGCCAAGTACTTAAATAAATCTGTATTATCTACACAAATCCAAACTAAAACTAGTTCCAGGTTAACTTAAAGTGCATCCCTACTCTGTCTTTGCATGTGGGCAGGTTGTAGTTAGTTAGGAGCTGTCCTGTACAGGAGAGTAAGGGTTAATACTATTCCAGGTTCTTTGGCTTTTGGCAGGATCTTTGGATCCCACTCTCTGCACTTGTGAATATAAAATGGGACAGTGGGCCGAGTCTGGGGTCTTGGTCTTTGGCAGTCCACTGTGAGAGAAGGCTGTAGGGTTCTGAAGTCTTCTGCACCCCTGGCCTTGGCTATTTCCTTGGAACCCCGAAGATAGTGACACCTGGGAAAGATGTAAAAACGATACAGCTGACCTTCAAGCCATAAAGCTATCAAGACTTGGGGTTTGCCCAAAAGACACCAGCTTCTGAAATTTGCCTCTGTTGGATGCCTCAACTACATGAATTCTCCTCTGCAGTTATGCTGGGACAGCTCATAGTCTGGTTAGGATTAGGGATTAGGGATTTAGTTCAGTATAACTTCAATAAAACAGTCAACCTTCTTGTTTTGTCTGTTTTTGGACTATATTTTTGTAACATTGCACTTTAGGCATTGAAACTTTGACTTTTGCCTGGTCTGAAGTTACTCAAAGGGATGTTATGCAAGCAACCAGCACCACTTTGTACTTCGTCTACCACTTGAGGTCACTAACACACAGGGTATGAAGAATTAACATGCTAAGAGTCATCTTAATGCAAGTTATACATGTGGTTGCCATGAGCAATGCAAGTTACAGTGAGCAAGCAGCCTGTTATAAATGTGTACCTGTTATAGGTGGAATTGCCTATAGCCATAAGGGAGATGTTGTCGGCACTCCCTACGGCGCATTCCATCTCCCACAGCAACCGGAACAGAAATTCACTGCAGAGGTACCCATCCTGTTCAGAGTTACGTAAGTTTAAGATTTAAAGTCAAGTGCACGTTGGAGCCCATGCTATGTGCATGGCGGGGTTCCATGCTGCTACAGGGAATGGTAGTGGGAAGCTGGTGGTTGTGGTCAGTGTTTGGCATAGCCTGCCTAATTGCAATCTACAGTGGAAAGATGTACATTTACATAAGGACCTGAAAGTCAACTGGAAAACAGTTCTGCAAATGTACATGGTGTACATTCATCTCTAAGAGTAGAGGCCTTCCTTAAGGTCAAGTATTCCCTGATGGCAACCTTAGCCTTGTGCCAGGGCATTAATGAAAACAGCACTAAAGCAAAGGTACCCCAAATATACAAAGTACAGTGACCCTGAAGAAGTGTAGCCCAGAAGAACCCACCCTGGGGTAGGCCTCTCATTTAACCCTTGCTTGGTGCCTCACGAGGAGGGAAAGATGGAAGACGTGACAAACAAGTACCACCCTACTAACCTCTGCCTGCATGCAGGTCAGGTTCATATTTTGTACACTTTACCTTTGCTTTCCTATCACTCTGTTCAGCCACCTGGAGCAGAAGCAGCCCTGTATAAGCCCAAAGCTGAAGCTTGCACATATATATGGACCTTCTGCATATGACTGCGCTGGTGCATGACCAGCACTGTCACAGTGGCTAAGTCACTTGCTCTAGAAGTATACTAGAGGTACTCCCAAGAGCTGAATCAAGGGTTGGGGGAAGGCTAGAAAGGTATGTAATACTGAGGATATTTTGCTATGCATTGAAAAACACAGGTTTGCTTTAGGAGTACAGGAAACAAGATGTTCTTAACCCTTATTCAATGAGGGTTTGCACATACACTATATTGCCAAAAGTATTGGTCGGCCTGCCTTTACATGCACATGAACTTTAATGGCATCCCAGTCTTAGTCCGTAGGGTTCAATATTGAGTTGGCCCACCCTTTGTAGCTATAACAGATTCAACTCTTCTGGGAAGGCTGTCCACAAGGTTTAGGAGTGTGTCTATGGGAAGGTTTGACCATTCTTCCAGAAGAGCATTTGTGATGTCAGGCACTGATGTCAGACGAGAAGGTCTGGCTCACAGTCTCTGCTCTAATTCATCCCAAAGTTGTTCTGTTGGGACTCAAGTCAAGTTCCTACACCACAGACCTTGCTTTATGTACTGGTGCGCAGTAATGTTGGAACAGGAAGGGGCCATCCCTAAATTGTTCCCACAAAGTTGGGAGCATGAAATTGTCCAAAATGTCTTGGTATGCTGATGCCTTAAGAGTTCCCTTCACTGGAAGTAAGGGGGCAAGCCAAACCTCTAATAAACAACCCCACACCATAATCCCCCTCCACCAAACTTTATATTTGGCAGAATGCAGTCAGGCCAGGTACCGTTCTCCTGGCAACCGCTAAGCCCAGACACGTCCATCAGATTTCCAGACAGAGAAAACTGTCACTCCAGAGAACACATTTCCACTGCTCTAGAGTCCAGTGGCAGCATGTTTACACCACTGCATCCAACGCTTTGCATTGCACTTGATGATGTAAGGCTTGGATGCAGCTGCTCGGCCATGGAAACCCATTCCATGAAGCTCTCTATGCACTGTTGTTGTGCTAATCTGAAGGCTGCACAATGTTTGGAGGTCTTTAGCTATTGACTCTGCAGACAGTTGGCGACTTCTGCGTACTGTGCACTTCAGCATGCGCTGACCCTGCTCTGCCATTTTACATGGCCCACCACTTCATGGCTCAGTTGCTGTTGTTCTCTGTTGCTTCCACTTTGTTATAATACCACTAACAGTTGACCGTGGAATATTTAGAAGCAAGGAAATGTCACGGATGGACTTAGTGCACAGGTTACAACCTATCATGGGACCACGCTTGAATTCACTGAGCTCCTGAGAGCGACCCATTCTTTCACAAATGTTTGTAGAAGCAGGTTGCATGCCTAGGTGCTCCCTCCTCATAGGCTCACTAGCTATGAGTGACAGCCTCCCGCTGCTGTCTCAGCCAATGAGGAGAGTCTCTATAGAACAGAGGCTCTCGTAAACATTGCTGGCTCAGAGGGGGTTCAGGTAAGGATTGGGGGTGGGGCCTTTAATATTACTTTAAGCCTACTGTCAGCTAATTCTGAGTCACAGGAGTGGAAAAGTAAGTACCCTACTGTGACCTACAAGATAAGTATAACCAAAAACGATTTGGCCATATGTCTGTTAAATCACCTCTAAAACCGCCATCCATAGTTTTACCTCGGCAAGGCAGCCCCGCTGCGCCGGATCACATACAGTTGTGTTCAAAATAATAGCAGTTTCTTGAAAAAAGTGAATAAAGCTCAAAACCCTTCTAATAGCTTTTATTTCCATACACACAAATGCATTGGGAACACTACACATTCTATTCCAAATCAAAACATGAAGAAAAATATATCAAATTTGTGTTGTTCCTCTAAAAAAATTGAAGAAAAGTGAATATTAGACTGTTCAAAAAATAGCAGTGTTTGTATTCTTCTTTACAAACTCAAACATTCACTACATAAACTGAAAAATGTTTGAAGATTTTGCTTTCCTTTGAATCACTTAATGAATATTTCGTTGTATAAGCACTGTTTCTGAGAACTGCTGTACATCTGTGTTGCATGGAGTCAACCAACTTCTGGCACCTGTGAACAGGTATTCCAGCCCAGGATGATTGAACTACATTCCACAGTTCTTCTCTATTTCTTGGTTTTGCCTCAGAAACTGCATTTTTGATGTTACCCCACAAGTTTTCTATTGGATTAAGATCCGGGGCTCGGGCTGGCCACTCCATAACGTCAATCTTGTTGGTCTGGAACCAAGATGTTGCATGTTTACTGGTGTGTTTGGGGTCATTGTCTTGTTGGAACACCTATTTCAAGGGCATTTCCTCTTCAGCATAAGGCAGCATGACCTCTTCAAGTATTCTGATGTATTCAAACTGATCCATGATCCCTGGTATGCGATAAATAGGCCCAACACCGTAGTATGAGAAACATCCCCATATCATGATGCTTGCACCACCATGCTTCACTGCTTCACAGTGTACTGTGACTTGAATTCAGTGTTTGGGGGTCGTCTGACAAACTGTCAATCAGTCCACAAAATGTTGCGCCATTTCTCTTTAGGTCAGTCAATGTGCTCTTTGGCAAATTGTAACCTCTTCAGCACATGTCTTTTTTTCAACAGTGGGACTTTGCGGGGGCTTCTTGCAGATAGCTTGGCTTCATATAGGCGTCTTCTAATTGTAACAGTACTCACAGGTAACTTTACACCTTCTTTGATCTTCCTGGAGCTGATTGTTGGCTGAGTCCTTGCCATTTTGGCTATTCTTCTATTCATTCAAATGGTAGTTTTTCGCTTTCTTCCACGTCTTTCAGGTTTTGATTGCCATTTTAAAGCATTTGTGATCATTTTAGCTGAGCAGCCTATCATTTTCTGCACTTCTTTATATGTTTTCCCCTCTCCAATCAACTTTTTAATCAAGGTACGCTGTACTTCTGAACAATGTCTGGAACGACCCATTTTGCTCAGAATTTCAGAGAGAAATGCACTGTAACCAGCATGTACAACATTTGCTGCCTTCCTTCCTTAAATAAGGGCAATAATTGCCACCTGTGTTTCAGAAAATGAATGACCTCACTAATAGAACTCCACACTGCTATTATTTTGAACATGCCCCATTCAATTAGTGATTCAATTACACAGAATTAGCACCATGCATGTCATGACTGTTGGGTCTGTTGGATTTCTTTTACTCTACTACACCTGCTAGTAAATTATTTGCCATGTAGAAATATCATTTCTACCAAAAACAGTGATTGATCCGGTTAGTGATGTCTGATGGCTATTATTTTGAACAGAACTGTACATGTAAGTGATTCAACTTTTCAGGTAAGGGGCGTGAACATGCCTGCCTGACCTGTGCTGTCTTTCACTACAGCAAAAGTCAGTCAGCAGGTCCCATCCAATGATTTGTACCAGGGACCTGCTGAGTGGCTAAGCGAATCACAGTACAGAGCCCTGTGTTGACAAACAACACAGGGCTCTGTACAGACAACAGTGATGTGGTTGTTTTTTTTTTCTCCCTGTAAAACAGTGTGATAAAACAGTCACATCACTTAGTAAAAGCAGCACACACACATTACACATTGTTAGTCACACAGTTAACCCTTTGATTGCCCCTAGAAGTTAACCCCTTCCCAGCCAGTGTAATTAGTACAGCCACTGTCATTAGCTCTGATCACTGTATTAGTGTCACTGGAGATGTCAGTGTAATTTAGTTATTTCCCACCCAGCGTCAGTTGTTGTCATATTGCCCACTGCACTATCACAGTCCCACTATAACTCACTGATCACCACCATTACTAGTATTAAAAATATATAAATAAAAATTTATGTTAGTAGATGTTTTGTTGGAATTACAATTTTTAGTATCTGTGATATCAGTGTATGTCAATCAGCATCAAGTATCATAATGCAACAGTAATTGAGATGTAAGTTGTGGATATAATGCAAAAATGATGTAGCACTGGTACCAGTAGCAAGCAATGTGAAATGCACATTCACAAATACACAATAATAAATTGCTTCATATAGTGATATTATAACAACATTCCATAAGTTTATATAAACAATATAAGTGAAAACAAAAACTTGCAAAGTGATACAACCTCTCAGGCGCTGCCTTTATGAAGAGGTCAAATGATAAATGATGAATAACCCATAAACAATGAAAACATACACACCTAAAAAGTGCCAACAACACTCGCACAGCAGTGTATGTAATATGATCCTCTTGGGTCATAAATGTACCAAAATAAGTCCAAATGGGACTAATGCATCTATTGTGCCCAAAATTATCCTAAATTGGATCAGGAAGTGATGGGAAGAAAAAGAAGAAACCTTTTTCAAAGAGTCCAAATGGGACTAGTAAATCAATAGTGCTCATGTGCTAACAAACCCAAGTGCGCTTACTGCATATAAATAGTTCCCCCAATCTACCAAAATAATCCAAACAATGTAAACCAAAAATAATATAACGCACCTAAAATAACATGCGTGATAATAAAGTACAAAAAAATCACATCAGTAGCTAACCCTCAAGGGGCATACAATCTAAGGTCCCTAACTCACATTCATGCATACACATATTAGGGCCAATTTATACAGGATCCAATTCACCTACCAGCATGTCTTTGGAGTGTGGGAGGAAACTGGAGTACCGGAGGAAACCCACGCAGGCACAGGGAGAACATGCAAACTCCAGGCAGGTGGTGCTGTGGTTGGGATTTGAACCAACGACCCGAGTACTGCTAGGCAGATGTGCTAACCATTTAGACACTGTGCTGCCCATCATTAGGTATATGATTGGATGTTGGCAGCTGTACCTCCATTTTTTACTCTTTATATTATTCTAGGGACTTAGATAGGAGCGCAGGAGGTTACTTCACTCTTATAAGTTGTGGCTATGTCTTGATATTGTACCATTTAGAAAATGGAAAACAAAAATATATACAGTATATAAAAAAAATTCCAGTATATATACCATCATTTGTAGATGCTCTAATTTTCGCACAGACCAATTAATATACACCAGTTGCAATTTTTGTTTTTTTGTTTTTTTACCAAAGACATGTAGCAGAATATGTTTTGGCCTAAATTTATACAATAAAGAAATCTAAAGAAATTTGATTTTTTTTTATTGGATATGTTTTATAACAGAAAATTGAACATATTGAGGGTTTTTTTTTGGTCTTATTTCATTTATATAATAAAAAAAAACCCACAGTGGTATTATTATTTATTTCAGGTACTTATATAGCACTGTCAATTTATGTAGCGCTTTACATATATATTGTACATTCACATCAGTCCCTAACCCTCAAGGGGCGTACAATCTAAGGTACCTAACTCATATTCATATACTAAGGCCAATTGAGACAGTATCCATTTAACCTACCAGCATGTCTTTGGAGTGTGGAAGGAAACCAGAGTACCTGAAGGAAACCCACGCAGGGACAGGGAGAACATGCAAACTCCAGGCAGGAGGTGCCGTGGCAGGGATTCGGACCAACAACCCTAGTACTGCCAGGCGGAAGTGCTAACCATTTAGTGCTGCCATAACCATTCCGTGCTGCCATACAGTACCATCAAAAGAAAGCTCTATTTCTATGAAAAAAAATTAACTAAATTTAATTTGGGTACGGTGTTGCATGACCAAGCAATTGCTAGTTAAATTTGTGCAGTGCTGAATAGCAAAAAAAAAAAAGCAGCCAGATCATGATAGGGGTAAAACCTTCCAGACCTCAAGTGGTTATACTGTAGATTTGTTTTACCTCCATCATGAAGGGATTAGGCTTTGTGTTCAGCAAGGTCCCATTTGATTGGGGGGGGGGGGGATATTTTCTTGCCCCCTTTTTCTTTTAGCAGAACGACAGCAAATCTCTCTATCCCGCCCTATATATTGTTATTAAACGAATCTGATGAATCTGAAGCAGAATTTTTATGCTTTTCTGTGTTTTGTTTTCAATCTTTAAAAACAGTGTCAGTCACGTTAAAAATCCACATTGAAAGGATGCTCTAGGCTGTTTAATAGTTCATAAAGGGAACATTAAGTCTTTTCAGCATTTTCTAAGAGAAAATTAAGTTTTTTGGGAATATATTAATGCGTGTTGATGTTTTAAAACATGATTACATAGGATGAAAAAAAGACACAAATCCATCTACTTCAACCAAAAGAAAAAAAAAAATGAAACCTCCATACAATCATATACCTTCAGCTGATTTAGAGGAAGGAAAAAAATCCTATGAAGCATTACCTTCTTGGGGGGCTGCTGGATTTTGTTGGGTCCCCCTAAACTCTGCACAGCCAGGCAACACGCATTTTCCACACTTTCTCCCAGCATCAGTATAACAGTCTTTGAGCTTGT